AACAAGGTCTTCCTGCCTCAAAGCCCAGAACACGTAGTGAAGATCGAGAACCATGTCCACCCAGGTGATGGAACGGTAGAGAGAAATCCTTCAAATAGAAGGCCTATGGCCAACTTACCTTCCAAAATTCTTGCTTTATTTACTTTACTGCAATTAACAAAAAGATTGAAGCCTTAAGGAACTTAAGTAGGCTAAAAGGCAGGCCAGGAAGAGTTAAGAAGTATGGGGGCCTGAGGTTCTGTGAAGAGTGAATTAGAACATTTGGGATCTGTTCAGGAACATCTTGAGATGGATGGAATCAGTACCAACTATGACAATAGATAAAAAACACATAGGATGCTATGAACAAACCTGAAACAATACATGTGGAGGGAATGCTGTATATGAATAAATTTATTAATCAAAAAATTGTAATGGCACAAAACAAGACTGATCATGAGGAAAGTATGTAAACTGACATACGAAACTGGGTACAGTAGACATAAAAGCTAATTATAAAGATAATTCATCAGTAAATAGCAATATATAATGATACATGGCTGATATAAACACTTTTAATGTATAAAAACAGTAGGATAGAGAAGCATGTTGGTGTTTAACCCTGTACCATCCCTGCTACATAAAGGCTACATTAAATTTATACTTACTAAAAGGCTGTCCTGCATGCTTATTTGAACCATGCTGCAGTAAGACCTAACAGGTTCTTGGAAGCAACAGCATCATCTACACTGCAGACATGGGTGGATCCACTCCCTTACTATAGACAGATATAGCACATCTCCCCCCAAATCATGGGGTGATGGGGGTGAAGCATGGCTAGAACCTTCATCCCCTTCAGGAGACACTGGGTCAGCATCCCAGGGAGGCAAGGAGCGGCAGATGACATGGGGGGGTGCATCAACCTACCTGGCAGCACTAAGGCCACAGTCCCCAGCTCAGACAGGTAGCAGGGAGTCCCAGAATTTCATTCTTCTGGGGACTGAATCCCTGTGTCGAGCCCACTAATTCTTCTACGTTATACAGTAAGAGCACAAAAATAGCAAGATTATCAATCTTGAATAAAAAATAGAAGCAGGCCACTGCAAAGAATGTTATGCTACAAATGTTATGAAAGGAATGATTGGTGTGCCAAAGGTAAATTCTGGGCATGAATAAAACAAAGATTTATATGATATCAGTGGAGCCAAGATTTCACCCCAAAAGCAAGTTGTGCATTACTAGTAAAATTATACTAGAACATTTTTATAACACATAAATAGCTTAACACTTTTCAAAACACTTTAAAAGACACTATGGGCACGTCCAGACGAGTGTGATCATGCAGCATGTGGTGCTGCAAACATGTCTGCAGTGCCACATACCACACAGTCCAGAGTTCTCTGTGCTGCAAAAAATGTGGGGGAAAAAAACGGAGCAGCACACACTCAGGCAGCATATGCTGCTAAAAAGTGGAGCTGCGCCACTTGGAGCCATGCTGAGGCTGCTGGTCAGGCTCCACCCAGGAGGATCACTATGGCTGCAACTCCGGGAGGCCCTCAGGACCCCAGGTAAGGCTGTTGGGGCCAGCACAGAGCTGACTAAAGCCTCTACTATGTCACCTGGGTCAACTTGCCATGCGCCAAAGTGCACGTGGCACAGGTGTTCCCCGGGGACAAGGTGTGCCGCTGCTACTTGTCCCCAGGGAACCAAATGTCCACACACATCTGGACGTACCCTATCAGTGTCAATGAGTAGTGTTAGTTTATGGTGCTAAATGGACTTTAAAGTGACAGGAAATTCCAGGTCATGCAAACACAAACGCAGTTGCATCAACGTAAATGGGAAATTTTGTTTTGTCTACACATGCCCAATATGCTCAATTTACAGAGAAGAGAAAGTTGGGGAGGTGTCAGGTTACAAACATACCCACAGAAAATATATATGTGATTGTAGTGATTTAAAATTACACTTTTACTTATGTATATGAAATATATATAATTTCATAAGTTTCTGGCCCATGAGGTTTGTTATAGCTTCATTCAACTTCTTTATTTCTCTCTTTTAGGCAGCCAAGTTACTAAATATTATCCTACTGCACCCTGTGAAACAACCAAAATACAGCCTACATGTGTCTCCATTTTATGTGTCCCCTTATGTGTCTCCATTTTAGCCTGAGAGGTACCTAGGTGATTAGATTTAGGACAGTTCACATAAGCAGTGTTAGATGTCTATGTTGTCACACTTCTATCTGGGAATGTACATACATTCTGAGAAGAAAAAATTGTTTGGTAATATTTTTTTTGGATCCACTGTAGAGTTGGGAGAAATGTTAGACAAGCTTTCAGGAAACTGTCCTTCCTCCGTTCTAGAAAAGAAGGAGCTACAGTTTAAGCTAAATACCAGGTAAAGCAATGATTTTTAACTCCATTCTGTAAATTAATATAGTCACTTAAAGAAGGGGAAGAGGGGCAGTAAACCTGTAAAGCAAAGAGATATTATCCAAAGTACCTAACAAACCTAGTAAAAGCCAGTAAAGGCAACTTAAATTCTTTAACATTTCTCCAAAGTATATCATATGGTCAATACAAATCTCACTTCTTGCATATTGCCTGGACTATCACAGCTACAACGACAGTAAGACCCTACTACATAAATCCTGAATGAGTTCCTGAATTCTTAGTCAAAGGATAACCATAGAGAAGGACTAATGTTTGGTTTGACCCAGTGCTCATATTGCTCACCTTCGGCCCAACAGCCTAATTGTTAAGACACTTGCCCAGCAGGTGAAGACAGGTTCTGGGCCCAACTTAGGATTCCCAAGAGAGATGCCTAACCACCGAGGGTAGGTAGAATTGAGAGCATCCTCCATCCCCTCCTGGTGAAGATGGATTGCTGGGTACCCAAAAGTGAAAGTTGCATGAGTCAGAAGGAAAGCAAGTAAGAGGTAGTGTGGCCCAGTAAAATGGGCAGTTTCATGCTGTTGTCTGGCAGTTAGATGCCCTGGAAAGTATCTCTTCTGAGTGAACTGGATCTCAGTAAGACAGGAATATATAAGGCTGCCTGTAACCCCATCTTTTTGGAGAATGGGAGGGGCATGCATGCCTTGCTTAGGTGGAAAAGACAAGCTTCTGGAGGTGTGTAAGGCTTCCAGTTTCATGAATGGGAGAACCATTCATCTCTGCTGGGACTAATAAGGTGTAATAGGACCTTTGGCAATACCCACAGAAAGGATGGGAGAATTATGTACCTTAGATGTAGAAAAGTATCATGCTCCTGAGAGAGACTGTAATATTAGCACAGACAGAGCTATGCCCTTAAACACTTGACCTATAGGTATGGTAGTAAACTGGAATTGTGCCATATTAAGTAAAGCTACAGAGGCTTTTTCATCATAGTTTAAACCTCTACTAAATATATGGCTGAATCTGTTTGTCCCCAAGCCTCCCCCAGTACTTCTCCATACTACCATGTTTGTCAGTAAAGAAACCTGGTTTTAAACAATTATTCATTTTTCTGTTTGGATGTCAGGTCCTTGTTTCGACAACTGAAGGGCTGTTCTCTTTCCAGTTTCCTGTTCTAATGTTTCTTTTTGACAGCTCTTTAGTAATGCTTGACTTGATATGCCTGCCTCATGTAAAACACTGAAAATGTTAAATATTCCTGAAGCTAACAAGGGAAAATAAAAAGCCAAGTGGAAAAACTGACAGAACATTTGTTCTTGTTTAAATAGCAAGTCTCCATCATCATATTACAGAAGCTATAACAGGCACCTCAGTAAAAAGAGTCTATATATAATAAATACCCCAACTCAAAACAAGTGAAAAATACTGAATTAAATTTCAAAAGAGGCCCATTTAACATGCAGTGTGATATGACTCAAACTGAGTGGTTTCTTTTGAATCCTAAAATGTTCATTTTAAAATTCATTAGCTCTTACGAAGAATCAACCATTACCATCCATGAAATAAACTGGGAGGAAACAAGATGATCTAAGATGAGTTGATATGAATGGCATACTCCATCAACATCCAGTAAGAACCATGGCTTGTTTTACGTGAAGAACTGGATTTACAACCAGAGATCTCTCTTTCCAAGTGAGAAAAGACAAACAGTATACATTTCTCCCACTTAAGTTGTACCTGATATCATAATCAACAGAACTTTTCCTGCAGGCAGGAAGAGTTCGACACAGTTTTAACAAAGAGCGAAGTACATAAAACACATTTACTGGTGCTGCAGCTATTCTGCAACCTTTATACACATTCATAGTCTTTACTTACCTGAAGAGCCCAACTGAGAAAAATGTAACTTGCATAAGTAAAAATTGCAGGATCACACCCTTGTCAGATAGGTTGAAATATTCACCTTGTGTAAGTTATCATAGTTCCAGTGAGTTCATGAACCTCAATGGATCTATGACAGTTAACAAGATTTGAGCAGCTATGCCTCTAAGTTTACATGCACAAAAACAACTCTTTTTCTGTAACACACCATAACAAGTGTACTTTAAAATAACAGCTCTCTCTATAAGTTAATAAATGATAATATCTTTACATATTATTCATTTTATTCATGATGGACAGCTGTACACTACAAGCAGAGAGTGCTTTTAGATAAGCTCCAGCTCTATTCCTCATGAAACAAGTTTTTGGTTAAGATCAACAAAAAGACTAGATGTGCCCCACCCAAAAGTAAGACTTCTTTCTGATTGAAGAATTCACTGTACAGCTTAAAAGAAAAATTTTCCATTGAAAAATGACGAGTGTGATCTTACATTTGCCATCCATAAAACACCAGTAATTCACAGCCATAGCATGCAAACCTCAATGGATAATGCATCACATGAAAATGAAAAGCTAGCAAATGAAAACTGAATTCAAAAGCAGAAAATTGCAGGTGTTGCTATAGGGTTTCAAATAGTAAAAGATGAAAGGCAAACATTATGTTTCTTACAAAGTATTTTAGCACCTTTGAGGTTCATCTGTACATGCCACCATGAGGAAATAGAACTTTTCACTCACCAAGGTAGAGTTATGTGAAGCATCACCTGAGACCTCGGGTGTTCTTGTGCTGTTTGGGAGTCTGTGAGGGTTACGAGCTATCGCTTGACACCAGCCCAACATTTTCTCCTTCCACTTATCCCTTCTCAATTTCTGAAATTCTGAAAATAATTTAGATTCCCTGAAATATTGAAACTTTGAGTTTGTTGTGTGCATGTCTCTGGATGCATGCCTTTAAATAGCACTTTAGACTGTGTCTAAACAAGTTAATAAACAATTTTAAAAGAAAAATAGTTTAAATACCTTGAAGGGTTAAACCATGCAAACAGTTAGAGAGCTATGCACTTATTATAAGTATTGCATGCATTAATACTAGTTTAGTGCCAGCAAATCTGGTTTCCCAAAATGACAAATATCTCTTGCTGAAACATGGCACCTTATAAAGAAGGTTCTTTTCAGGAATTATATTATTGGACAGCTATGAGAATGGTATTATTCCTACAACTATTGAGTGTCTGCATATAAGTGCTACACATTCCCTGAACCAATTGGAAATCAAATTTCAGTCAAGAGCCCTAAAGCTGGAGAACAAAATGAATACAGATCAACTGTGTAAGTACACATACATACAAATAAAGCAGAATTTTCTCACCCTAAGCAATTGGTCTGCTTCAAAGAAGTGTCAGAAATGGAGGGGAATCTTCATCGAAAATAACAGTACATTAAACACAAACTGCTTTAACTACATGTACAAGACATGTACAGAGCAAAATTATGTCCTTTTTTAAAGTTAGAAATACTTTAGTTAGAAAGCCAACTTTTAACTAACACTCTGATACATTCTGGAGAATAACAGTAATTGTCCATGAAGTATGAGAAGTACACAGGAAATGTTATCTGCTGGTAAAATGTTATAGTTTACTTTTCCACTACACTACACAATTTAAAATGGCAGAGCATAGGTCTTCAGTTGAATGCATTACACTGTCAATTAAATATCAAAAATAATTTGGAGTAATTATTTTTCACAGCATCTGAAGCAATTAGCAATCTGGTGGTTTATAACATTTCAGGTTCTAAAATAGGCTATTCTATACCATTATGAAAGGTAACATATAAAAGGTTATGTTAACAGATTGATGAATTACTACTCTAAATGACAAAACACTAGTGTTAAATGGATCTGAACAATGTAAATAGGGAAGCGATAAAAATCTTTCATGAAAATCAAGACCTATTTGTTTAAAAGAATAACACTTTCTTAATAAGATAAAAGTGTTATCCACAATTCATCCTGTCCAAGTCAGGCTTTTTCTTTAATGTTCCTCACTGAAACATCCAAAGTGAAGAAAGACTATCCTTTGCTGCTGATGTTTATATGAGCATCCCCATGCTCTTCTGCCAACATACCCCAAATTCTAGATAGACAGAATACTTCTAAGTCTGAGAGAACCATTCAAAGTTTATACACACACTCATTCTCCACATATTTCACAGGCTTATACAGCCACTGTTGTAAGGTTAGTTATTTTTGCCAATTGTGATGGTGTTTCTTGTATCCTAAACACAAATCACTTGGTTTAGAATAGAAACCAAGCTTGGTTTTATGGCAGCTAATTTGTCTCACAAGCACAGATGATTTATTTATTTATTTATCAAACAATATAACTAGATAAAATGGTGATTAAAGAAATGGCGTTGATAACTTTCTAATGTCCTGTTCTCTGACAATAAATTCACATTGAAAATATTTGAGCATTTTACAAATTATTTTTTCTAAATTTAATTAAAAATTTTTTGCTTTGCTATTCTGTAATTGTAATTAATTAATTGTCATTAGTTAATTTTAATTAATTACCAAGTGTCTTTACATGTTACCATGCATGTTCTCCAATTGGCTGAAGGGACTTGTCCGTGCTCAGTAAAAATGCACCTGGACTCATTAAATTTCATGTCACCTGCATTTGTGACAGTAGATAAGGCTGGACTGAGATGTATAATGTAACTATCTATTTGGTTGTGTTGCTTTCAAAAGGGATGCTGAACCAAACCAACTCTTTGCCACTTCTTCACCAATAACTGAAGTGGTTTTGGGCTGGTTTTTCCATTTTGTTCGTTGTAATTTGTAGCTCACTTTCTGCTCTTTTTGTTACATGGGGATTCTAGACAGGCCTTATACATTGTGGGCTGAACCATCTGCTTTTGGGTATTCCTATAGGGCTGCTGGGCCATACTCTCTAAGAAAGTGCACAGGTGTGTGTGCACACAAGTGTATAATTAAATAAATAAATGTTTTCATTTGGCTGATTGGTTTTTTGTACTATACAGAATCATAGAAAAATACCATATTTTCTTACCTACCACATGCCTCCTAATAAGACATGCATACAGTTTTTTGCAAGCAGAATGCAGAAGAAAAGACTTTTCCAAGTCCTGGCTGACTGTGATATCGAATAAGTCCACCTGGAAACACAACTGGAATTTATACACATGCTTTTTCACGCTGCAGTGCACCAGAGATCCAGTGTATCATAGCAGACTCAATTAAATAAGTCTGCTGTGCACGTGAGCTGATGCGCATGGTGCTGCATTGCTTGCAGTTGTATAAGTAGAGAAATGTGTCAGTGAAGAGAAAGTGGCGGTGGTGAGCTTTTGACCTAAAACACCTTCTATGTGCTTTAGTTCAAAAGTGGACCGCCTCCATTTTCTGTGTGCTGATGAGCATTTCGCTGTTTATATAATACGCTGTGGCCCATGCATGTGTAAAAATGCCCAACATGTCCAGGAAGTGTGTTATCTCAGGAGACAGTCTGAGTGAGGCAGCAGGGATTTCCTGGCATAGCAGGACATAGACAAAGCTAGACCAAAGACCCTTGCAAGGGCAATAGCACAACTGTTACTTCTTAACTCTAAATAGTTCTTTATGTGAGTTCCTGTAAATAGTAAATGTAGTTTCCATACCACAAGCCTCATCAAGATATTGTAGGCTGCATGCAGCAGCTCACTTACCCTGAGAGAGGTCAACTGCTGCTTCAGGCACAAGCTGCAGTGCTCATCCAACAGTGACTGTGAAAGAGAACACTGGACCACATCCCTATTGTTTGCTGAACCAGAAAGAAGTGGCAGGTATCTTGGCAGCTATTATAGCACAGTCTCTCCCTGCTTCTACTGCAGCAAAGAAAGATCAGCTTCCCTGCTTAAGGCAAGCACAGTGATGTTGGAAGACTGACGGGGGGGAGGTACATGTGGTATGTAAGTAAATACAGTAGGGCAGTAAGGAATTTCAGAAGGTCATTTAGGCCACCCTTCTCCTCAAGGGTGACCATCCCTGTGTAAATCAGCCAAGAAAAGTGTTTGTTCAACCTCCAATGAAACTTCTAATGAATTCTACACCGCTTTAGGGAATCCATCCAATACGTAACCACCCCCATTGTCAGAAAATTCTAGCTGATTTACACTGAATTTGAGAGAATGATTTAAAGGTGGAAATCTTCAGTTTACATGAGGAATAATCTGAGACATGTGGTTCCAAAATATTTTATGTTCCAGTTAAATTATTTAATTTAAAATCAATTAATTCAATGCATTTATAGTTTGAAAATAAGCACTGTTTCAATTATTCTATACCATTATAACTATAAAAAAGTTTTTATTAACAGGATTGTCACTTACACATCATGGGAAGTAATTTTTCTGCACTATTTAGCACTGGTGAGGCCTCACCCGGAGTACTGTATCCAGGTTTGGGCCCCACACTTCAAGAAAGAGGTAGACAGTGAAAAGAGTCCAGCACAGGGCAAGGAAAATGATTAGGGGCTGGGAGGCAAGACTTAGAAGGAAAGGCTGGAAGATCTAGATTTATTTAGTCTGGGAAAGAGAAGACTGAGGGAGGATTTGATAACAGTCTTCAAGTACCTAAAGGGTCCTTATAAAGAAGATGTGGATGGGCTTTTCACTGTGGCTGTAGGGGCCAGGACTAGGTGCAATGGCCTCAAGCTGCAGCAGGGGAAATTTAGGTTGGAGATTAAGAGAAACATTCTGACTATGAGAGTGATCAGACACTGGAACAGGTTACCTGTGAATTCTCCATGCTTGGGAACTTTCAAAAGCAGGTTAGACAGACATTTGGCTGGGATGGTTTAGTCACGGGCCTTTGAGTAGGAGGCTGGGCTAGATGACCTTATGAGGTCCCTTCCAGCCCTCCTTTCCTTGGATCCTCCAAAGTTACATTTATTGTGCATCCAATCAACATGCATATTGTTGAGGTCATTATACAAAATAAGGTCTGTTCTACGGGCAAGTCAGGTACAACATCAGTACTTAAAGTATCCTGAATAGTAGGAAAAGTGAAATGCAAACCCATTTATTCCCAGTCATCTCACCAACATCTTATTTCCAAATCACTCATGATTTGAAGTAATCAATGTTTATGTTTACTAAAGTTTGTGTGCAACATCAACACCTCTGAAGAAGTATCAAATGAATGGTGATATCATGAAGAGTTTTTTACGATACCATAAAAAGCTGCTGTTCTTGTCTTGAATATGAATGTATGTAAGTAATGGCAATAGAATTAAGCAAGAACATACAAGACCAGTTTTTATAAGCTGAGAAGATACGAAAGCAATATTTAGTAACTAGTCACTGGGATCCGGAGGCACCAGATTTAACTCACTCTTAGACAGATTGGGAATCCCTTCCCCACAGTGGTGATGAGTTAGTTCAGCTAAGGTTACTTAAGTTAGTATACATTGCTCACAATACTGTTCCTATTCTCTTGACAGATCATATGATCACTGCCCAAAGTGTTGAAATTTACAAAAACCAAGGAAGCAGTTTGAATACCTTAGTAAGCATCTCAAAGATAAACTATTTAGTTAGTAAACTTTGGAATTTAACAGAATAGTAAAAATATCTTTTAATTATTAAAATTAATTACTGCATTGCCACTGACTTCAATAAATGTGGGTTAAGCAGCAATAAAATGTGTGAGTGACTGCAGATGCTAAGTTTTAAACTTAATTATTAATAAACTATAGTTAGGTGTAATTAAGCAAAATTTGGTGTTAAAGTAACACTGGTGATTCTGGGGATGTCCAATACTAATTTTCAATTCAAAAATGAAAAAATGTATCAAATCCAAATTTATCTACAACTAGGA